GTGTAGTGTAGTGTTGAAAGAATGTTGATTGGCAAATGAGAGGAAATGAGAGGATTCCAGTTTGCTAGTTTAAATGTTTCCAAAATAAAAATGGCAAAACATGTGCTGATTAGAGCTTTGCAAGGACGCTACTTGCTTTTTGGCATCTCAAAGTATAGATAGTGTGCTTTTTGGGGTTATTGCCATTCGCTAAACTTAGAAATTTGTGATGAGCATTTGATGTTTACCCCACGATTCAATTTACTGTGAAAAAGTCCAATAAATAATCAGTAGTGAAAGGTGGTTAGCTGCAGTCTTGTAGTAGTTACACAGCTAATACATTATCACTTGTACTCATAGGGGACATCTGCAGAGCATCAGTTTACACTTTCTGGAGATGCTCGGCCCATAAACAATTCTGTCAGAAGCAGTCAACGTCAAATGAAAACCAAGTTCCCAATAATCATATCAAGCGCGCTGAGAAAGTGGAGGAATAGATACATACTGTGCACTCTTGCATTTCCTGCTCCTTGGTGGCAAGTCGCATGACCAAGATGTTCTCCCTGCGCGCAGACTCCTGCTGCTGCTGCTTGAGCTTTTCCTCCGACTCCTTCAGCCCCGGTACGTCGTTGGCTGAGACGGTGAAGAGAGCAAGAACAGAAAATGCATCAGGACACTCTCACATGCAGCCAAACATAGTGATTACTGCTGTCGGGGAACACATGTTGCAGTGGATGAAAGCAGATGTACTTACAACATAGCTCTGTGTATTTGGCCTCCAGGACCTGTACGTATGCTTCATGCTGTTTCCACCTGAGGGGAGCATAACATGTAAGCATTAACAACTTAATTCTAATACACCGAGATCACAACAACATTAAGCTTTATATGTGGAGCTGGTGTTTACCTCGCACACAGCTCCTCTCTGGTGAGGGTCTTCATGTCAGATTCACTGAGGCGAACCTGTAGAGGAGGAAAACAACAAGAGGTTAAATAAAGAGGCTCATCAATTAATAAACACTGAGACATGGAGGGGCTCGTGACTCATGAGATATAACCCAGAAAAGACTCACCTTCTTGGGTAGAGGCTCCTCGTTGGTCATTGTGAGCTCTGGAAGTAAATACAAGAGACACCTCATTAATCACAGCTTGGTGTCGTGTGTTGGAGCGGCTGCATCATCTTTAGCTGTAACGCGATGGCTGTCCACACGCACTAATATATGACACGTATGTTAGCTTATGTGCTGCCATTGTTGTGTTTCCGGCTAACATATAAAGCTAATAGCATGTGGCAGCTACATTAACTACATGGTGCACCAAAGAAAAGTTAACATTACCAGTGAATAAGAGCAGCCGAGCCTAGTGTTAGCTGGTGTGGCAGGCAGAAACGATGGATAGCAGCGAACACAAATAAGCTAACCAAGGTTAACTCCCGGGTACTAATAACATTTAGCATCCGCTAGCGAAATAAATACAAGCTATGAAGCTACAGTGTTAAGCTGTGGTATTTTCTTTATCTTCAGCCTGGCAGCATGCAGTTCTTGGCTCTGGTTTCGGCTCCTTGTTATCACAAAATGGCGGTGAAGGAAATGACTCCCTCCCTTGCGCTCCTTTTCCTGAAACTAGCGGGCTCTTGGCTGCAGATTTCGGGCCTTCAGCCTTCAAAACACTCACCCGACCCGTTTCTCTCGATGTTTCTGGGACCTCTCGGCTTCGCGGATTCTTTACGAGTCGTGAAAATGCAACTAGGCTGAAAATTAGCTGGGAAATTTATGTGTAGTTGACTCGCTTCGGCGTAATCACCATCATCTTCGTCACTGACGGCGGAACAGAATGGCTCTGGCCGAGCTGCTGCACCGCACTCGCGTTGCTGCAGAGTACGACCAGAGATAATGGACAAGGAGACAGACCTCTCACTCCGCAGCGATTTCCGGAACCTAAAACTAGATACTGGGGGGAAAATGCTCCTCCATCTCAATTGTTGTTTATTTCTAAGATATGGCACATTGTATTCCCTAATGCTGTTATATACTTTTTAAATTTTATTTTATTAAAATGTTTGTCTGTAATGAAACAATGTGTATGGGACACATTTTGGTGCTTTTCGTGCATATATATGTACACTGATAAGCTAAAACATTCAAACCACTGACAGGTGAAGTGAATAACTTTTGATTATTTTGTTCCAGTTTATTGTTCTGCTGGGAAGCCTTTGGTTCTGGCATTCATGTGGATACCACCTGACATGTTCCACCCACTCAAACACTGTTGCAGATCAAGTACCCCCCCTCATGGCACCAGTACTCCCCAATGGCAGTGGCCCCCAAGTAGAAAAAAGCAGCATGCCACGCTACAAAACCGTTCAGATATGGCCTGTGGAGCGTGACAAAAAGCTCAAGGTGTTGACCTGGCTTCTAAATTTCCCAGATCCCAATCTGCTCAAGGTGGGGCCTCCTTGGATTGGACTTGGCTCTGACCTGTTGAGGCATGGACACAGGATCTCAGGGAGTGTCCTGCGTGTGTTAGCGGCAGATTCATTTAGTCCAGTGGGTTGTGAGGTAGGTTAATGGCACGTGCCACAGATGCTCATTCAGATTGGGATCTGGGGAATTTGGAGGCCAGGTTGACCCTTTGAGGTTTTTGTCACATTCCTTGGGCCATTCATGAGTGGTGGTTGCAGTGTAGCATGGTGCATTATCCTGCTGGAGGGCCACTGCCATTGGGGAGTACTGGTGCCATGAGGGGGGTACTTGGTCTGCAACAGTGTTTGAGTGGCTGGAACATGTCAGGTGGTATCCACATGAAAGCCAGAACCAAAGGTTTCCCAGCAGAACAATCTACTGGAACAAAATAATCAAAGTTATTCACTTCACCTGTCAGTGGTTTTTATGTTTTGGCTGATGGGTGTAGATGTAAAAGCTGTGTAGTAGAGCCAAAACATCAGCTAATTATGATTACTTATTATTGTTGGACGGAGCAATTTATGCTTGCTACAAGAAGGAATGTGCACAAAAGAGGACCGCATGATGAAAATATGTGAAGAAGGACTGATAAATAAGAGTTTAAAATTGTTTTTTTTCCATCCTCTACATAAGGATTTTAATATACAAAAAAGGAAGAAAACAACTGAACCAAAAAACACATGGAAACTCACTCAGATGTTTTGTTAAAGAAAATTAAAAAAAAACAACCTGTACAATCTCCTCGGGCCACCCCGCCCTCATCCTCTTCCTCCTCCACGTCCAGCCACTGCTTCTATTTTCTTGGACTTGGTCTTTGGCTCGATGTCAACAGCAGGGTGTCCAGTGAGAGGCTGTCGGGGAGGATAAAGTAGTGAATGTTGTTGCCACGAATGCTCAGTGATTCCAGCTGAGTGGGTTCCCTATTTTTCAGGGTCATTTTCACTGCCCTTCAGGTGGGTGTTCATGCTCACATCGGCATGTGATGGTGCCATGGAACTGGGTGCCATTCTTCAACTCAATGGTGAGCGTCTCATGGCTGAGTTTAATCAAAATCCTGACTAGTTTCACGATGGTGACTGACTGTAGAGACAAATCCTTTACCTGATCCTCTGAACAGTTAATGGCCATCTATTGAAGACTGATGACTCTTAGTATGGGTATGTAAGAGCCACAGTGTGTGTATATATAACAAGTTAATTTGAATATCATGCAAAAATCATTTTCAGACATTGAATAAAACAGATATTGTATAAAATGTAAAAGGACTAAAATTAATTCATGTTAAATTTTGATGATGACACTTCTGGTTAAAAAAATACCTTGATAATTGATTTTCTCCATATCGCCCAGCCCTAAGTTTAATAATCAATCAGCTGATGATTGCCAAAGACGCCTGTTTCCACTGTCGTAACTGTGAATATATGCTGGTTTTCTTTGTCTCCTTTCATAATTCATGTCTTTTTTTTTTTCTTTGGCTGGATGCAACAAGCCATCTCTTGGCTCTGGAAAATGTGGTTGATATTGATCACTGTTTTTAATGAGATTTTATAAACCATATTTCATGTGCAGCTAGCTTTAGTTGCAGCCTTTGTGTAGTTTATTATGGCAACGGTTTAAGTGCTTGGCTGTGACCCTGACTGAATGTTTCAGCGCATCATCGGTTATGAGTTATTTATTAAAAATAATAATAATAATAATAATAATAAAAAATCAGTTATGAGTTGAGGCTTCTTATTTCCTGATGTTCACTGATTTACATATTTTGTTAGTGTGAGAATGTTCTTGAATGAGATATGGGGAAGTCTGAACATCCTGAATAATTTTGTTTGTTGGCCTATTAGTAGGCATACAATTACTAAGTGACAATATTCACTTATTTGTCCAGAATAAGTTTGTATGCCAAGTTAGTTATTCAGTCTTTAACCCACCCATCACAAATACTGAGGTGTCGTTGGTTTTAATTTAATTTAATTTAATTTAATTTAATTTAATTTAATTTAATTTAATTTAATTTAATTTAATTTAATTTAATTTTATTTTATTTTATTTTATTTTTTGGTTTCTGAGTGATTCATTTGCCTCAACATAGACGATCTCTGGTGTTGCCTCCGCTGTGGTAGAAGAGACGTTCACGTGATTCTTTACTTTTCTGTTAGTTTCAATATTTTTGCTAAGATGTGCAGCACACTGCTACAAATTATTTACAATTATCATGTTTATATTTTTTATTTTAGTACGTATAATTTATTTACCATGATATCGCATGTTTCTAAACGAAAAGAGAAAACAATATAATTTATAGACTATAGATTATTTCTATAACAAAACATATGCAACGGCAGTTAGCTGCACTCATGCACTTGTAGGGTGAGTTGAAAAATGTTTTAGAACAGGGAGGGATAAAATACATAATCTGATATATTTAGATATATTTCGACACATCACGTTTTTATCACACATATCTGTATTTTTTATGTATAAATATTTATGATAGAAATTGTGGCTTCAGTTGTTGCAGTTGAGGTTTATCTAATTCCTGTACACTCCCGTCAACACCCCCGCGGGACGATGATGGTACGTTCGGCTGCGCTGTCAAGTTGAAAGTGCTCATTTCAAGGGCAGTTAGGAGTTTGCGTCTATTCTGTCCCGTTTACCCAGCTATCACTAACATGAACATGCTGTGCAGAGTTGGCCAAATACGCAGGTAAAACGGATATCACCTCAGCCTTTAGTGGCATTACCCTGTTCAAAGAGCAAATGGGATTAAGACAGCTGACTCCTGCTAGCAGCGTTGAACTTGAGACAGTTGTTTATTTAGAGCTAACAGCTAACGTTAGCTAACTTAGTGTAGCAGCGCGGGGTTAGCTTGTGGCGCACCATATAAAGTATTTAGCTTAACTATGGTAAAGTCCTGCACTCATGGCCTTCAGTGTGATTTGTTAACTTCATGTTATATTTGGATACACGTATTTATTGCTAGCTAACTCAGTGCCACCTGCTCATTCAGCTAATATCTAAACACTTAACCAAGGTACTATGCTTGAATTCACATGTAACACCAGAAATTTGGGTCACTTACAGCCAGTTGCTCAAGGCTTATCAAACAGGACTTGTGCCAGGCTATCTTGGGCTAATATTGTGCAATTTGATAACACAGGCACCATTGTTAGCTATGTTATTCTTGTCTCTCCATACATTTATAAATTATTGTTCATGCTCAGCTGTATGCCACATTTATCTTTCATGCTGGCTACACTAAACCTGACTAAAAGCTGAATTCTGGTTGGTAAGTTTCACCTCTGATTTGTTCCAGGTGTGCAGCCAGCCTCAGCCAAACTATAAACCAGGTAGCTGCATCCAGGCAGAAGCACACGCTCCCTGACCTGACCTACGACTATGGTGCCCTGGAGCCCCACATCAACGCAGAGATCATGCAGCTGCACCACAGCAAGCACCATGCCACATATGTCAACAACCTCAATGTTACAGAGGAGAAATATCAGGAGGCGCTAGCAAAGGGTATGATCTCACATGAGAGAATTAACTAATATTTATATCAGGAAAACATCTGTACATTTCCTGACATCTGTTAATATATCGTTAAGTTGTCTTCATATTCACCTGCATGTGTTTGACTTGTATTTTAGGAGATGTGACCACTCAGGTTGCCCTCCAGCCTGCTCTGAGGTTTAACGGAGGTGGCCACATTAACCACACTATCTTTTGGACAAACCTTTCTCCAAATGGTGGAGGCGAGCCACAGGGTAAGACAGAAACTCATCCAGTACTCATATTTTTTTCCCCACACTGCTTAGTTTTGTATTTAACTTCAACATGCATTAAGCAACACATGACTCTGTGCTGTGAAAGGGTTGTTAGTAGCGCTGGACGTGAGTGAACAGCCAACTCTGCAGCTCATTGTGTTTGCATTATTAGCCCTCACAATGACTCTATTTTTGAGTGTTACCACACTCTCCAGCCACCAGTATAAAACATAAGCAGCCACTCCCTGTTAACAAGCTCAGACATGCTGAAAATATACCACATTTGTAACACCAATCAGCAGAGAATAACATCAGTGAGTGGCTTGTGAAGCATCCAGTAAGTACAAGGCTTTTATATTAAATTAATATGTGTGGTGTGTATATTAGGTGGGCAGAAACATGACTCCAGTGTCTGTCCCATTAGCTGGTGGTGGCTCAGCTTTGTGCATTTTCTTTTGTCATTCTGCCCTCTAGTGGTCCAAAATGCTGCCAAAACAGCTGATATGGAGACATTTTGCTTTCTAAAAAAAAATACATTTTCCTGCTATGTTATTTATTGCATAATTATTAGTCAGTATGCAGCTAACAGGGCAGCTCTCTTTCAGACTATGTAAATACAAAAATGGACTCTTTCTGATTTTGTTTTTAGCTTTTAGTGTCCAGTTTTACTCTGAATAAGCGCCAGTCTGTGTTATTTCTTGTAGGGGAGCTGATGGAGGCCATTAAGCAGGACTTCGGCTCCTTCCAGAAGATGAAGGAAAAGATGTCCGCAGCTACAGTGGCAGTGCAGGGCTCAGGCTGGGGCTGGCTGGGCTACGAGAAGGAGAGCGGAAGACTTCGTATCGCTGTTTGTGCTAACCAGGATCCCCTGCAGGGAACTACAGGTCAGTTGAAAACAGCTTTGAAGTAGAGACAAGACTCTTTCTATTATGTTATTTATATTTAAAGCCACCCTCCACTCAAAAATGTGTTTTTGGTATACCAGTGCCCCCTCACGTGTCTAACCTTGACTGTATTGACTTGTATCTGTGCAAAGTTTGTCACTAGAGGGATGTAGGGGGACAGACTTCGACACAACACTGGTAAAGGAACCTAAAACCTCCAGTACAGAGGGCAGAGTTAGCATTAGCATTGTGAAAGTTTTGACAGCAAACATGGTAGAGTGTGCAGTTTCTGGATGTAAAATGGACCCTGGAGCTTCCTTCCACTGTCTACCAAAAATTCCATCGTTGCAGAAATTATTGTATGTTTCACAAAACACTAACGCAATGTCAGCCAACGTGTTCTCAGCTACTGCTAGTTAGCCTACAAGCTAACAAACAACATAAATAAAAGATGCTAACTAACTACACTTACTGTTCCGGGACGTCGGTTGTTCTCATCTGAGTCTGGGTCTTACTAAGGCTCAAATATGTTCGGCTGAATCTCTCCGATGTTTCTACTAACGCTAATGTTAGCAATGTTGTTGCGCACTGCTCTTTCACCAGTCAACCAAGTGTGAGCAGCGCTGGAGAAAGCAGAGAACTAAACCTACCACAGACATTTCTCAGTGATGGAAAAACAGTAGATCTTCCTTTATCTCCTTTTAGGAGTTTTTTGTTAATATTATGAAGGAAAACTGTGTTACACAAAATATTAGTAGTAGTATAAGAGCCATCCTCAGTGTGAAATGTATACGCAGGATGCTAATTTGTCCTGTAGGGGTCACTGTATTGTCATGGATGTCTGTCAATATGGGTAGGAACCATTCATTGAGGGACAGTTGTTGCTAGATGGGGAGCACACATAGTTTTTTGACCGCAACACCGGGCCAGTTTTTCATTGAAGACTACAGCGGTGAGAAATAAATTATGCATCAAAGAAGAAGAAGAAGCTGACTCTGTTTTCACCTGATGAGCAGCGGTCAATTAGGCCAGGCAATGGCATCAGTCAATAAGTAGCCTGTCTATGCAGCCCCTCAGTAGCTTTAAGTGAAGGCTTAGCCGCTATTACAAGTCTTTTTACGTACTTCAAAATGTGTCTGGAGAGTGGACTTTAAACCGAGTCATTAGAGTAATTCTGTCCTATCTCTGACCCTCAGGTCTCATCCCCCTCCTCGGTATCGATGTATGGGAGCACGCCTACTACCTTCAGTACAAAAATGTGCGGCCGGACTATGTAAAGGCTATCTGGAATGTCATCAGCTGGGAGAATGTGAGCGAGCGTCTCCAGACTGCCAAAAAGTAGAACCTAATCCCAAATATTCTCAATTACTCCTCTCACCCTGACCTGGATTAAACAGTAGTTGCAAATAATGTTCAGTTTTATGATACATGGATTGTCAGAGTGGTGATGTTTTTTGTATTCAGAGAGTTTGGACTGTTGGATGATCCCCTGCATCAAAGTTGATTAAGTTGACTTAAGAGATTACATTCTTTATGACAAACGTGTTGCCCTGCACACATGCAAGTTGAAGTGAAAAATTATTTGCAAGTGCTTTTTATCTCAGGTCTAATCCCGACCTTCATACCTTTTTCAAGCGCACAAATTGGCCACCTTTCACATCAAGGCTGGCCAATTGTCTGGCATTAATTTAAAGTAGGTGTCCGATAAACAGAGTGAGCATATTCAGTGAGCTTTGTCTTTGACAGAATACATCGCACTAAAATCAAAGAGTTTGCTGTTCATGTTTTGATGTATTATAATAAAATTATAGGATTTCAATAATACAAGCTGCATGGTTGGTGCTTTATTCTTTTATTTTTGTGTGTTGTGACAGATAATCCAGTTAAAATGTTTTTTAAAGCTGTCGTTAGGGAGTTATAAAGGCATCAGAGAAAAGAAAAACATGGTTATTGTAGTCACAGCAGTGTACAGCACGGAGCCTTCAGAATAACAGTAAAGATCAGTGTTAATGGGTGTTAAACACGGGTCATGAAATTTCTGATTTAATAATAAAAACAACAGTCTTAGTGAGGTAAGTGAAAGCATTTTTTACCACATTTGGTGCGGCATGCAAGATATCGAGAATTTAAATTATCAGTCCGATTCAAAGGCCTCCTCTTGGCTGTAATTCTCAGCTTTCATCTTCGTGTATGGCGCTGCATGATGGCTATCAACATTTGTTTTCCCACTATTTTGTAGTGATTTAGAGATGTCTTTCTTCTACAGCACGGCCAAGTTGGCTTTAGTCCAATCAAAAGGATTAAGTTTTAGTTGGAAAAACAGTGCTTGCTGAGAAACCACAGCCCTGCTGATAAAGTCAACATGAGTGAACGAGGTGTGCAAGCAGGACGTTAAACACTAGATGAAGCATATACTGTATGTCCGGTACTGTAATAATACTTCTTAATAATAATACATTCTATTTAAAAAGGTGCCTATTGTTGCTGTGATAAAATCAGGAAGGTGGGGGTGCAGAGGGTACAGTCAGTGTAAAGTGCATATGCCAGTTTGAACAGGTGAGTTTTGAGATGGGATTTAAAGGATGTTATGCTGTTGGACTGTCAAATGTGCAGAGGTAGGGGGTTCCAGATCCTGGGGGCAGTGCAGCTGAAAGCCCTGGCACCCATAGTGCTGAGGCGTGAGGTAGGAATGGTCAGGAGACCAGTAGAAGAAGAGCGCTGGGAGCGGGATGGGGTGTACTGGAGAAGGTCAGAGGGCTAAGTGGGGGCTTTGAAAGTGAGCAGAGGGTTTTTGTAATCCATCCAGTACTGATCAGGGAGCCAGTGTAGTTGGATGAGAATGGGGGAGATGTGGTGAGATGATTTGAAGCCTGTTCGAGTTTGGTGGGAAGGCCAGAGAGAACTGCATTACAATAGTCAATACAAGATGTGACGAATGTCTGAACATACTGAACGAACGTTTGATCAACCCATATTAATTTCAGGCTTAAAATAACTTCCTAACCTAACTAATGCCCCACCCATTTCCAGTTTAAACTCTGATCATTCAAGAGTACAAATACAGTTAAAGATAATGGTGTACTTGCTTATCCATGTTAATAATGATCTTGAAGAGGTCTTAGAAAGCATTAAATTTAAATGTCTGATACCTGTGGACACCCTGGTGGACTGTATGTTGTATGATCTGTGCTGCCTTTTTACAGTGTGACCAAAGGGGGGCAGTGTTTGCCAAGGTTTTCTGCTGTAGATGCTCTGTGGCTTGTATGCGCACATTTTCCTTTGCAAAAAAATCCTTTATGATCAAGTGCATTTAAATGATGAATATACAGGACTTATATATTCATGGAATTGGCTCAGACAAGCTTTCAAAAGATCATCACCTCTTAATTCACACAACCCACAGTGGATTTGTTCAAAGGCTTCAGCAGCATAGTGTGCTTGCCTCAGGAGTTCTATGTTAAAAGAATAGGTTTCCTTTAAAATTATATCAAGGACTTTACTTTGCCTGTACAAATAGTTTCCAGCTGCTTCATCTCCCGTCATCCAAGTGATTCCGCTCTTCCTGTCAGTGATTAAGACTGACCAGTTTGCCAGTGGGAATTTCACATTCCAGAGATCTCTCCCTTTTCCTGGAGGTGGTGTCATGATGGAGAGGTGAACTGGTTTTCGGTGGACACTGTGAGCTCAGGCACATGGCGACCAGACTCCGACTGAGCAACTGGAATCAGCACCCTTTATTAAGTTATGTGTGATCTTGGTCAGGAGGGATAACTGAATGAATCAGAAGCATGTCATTTAAACAGTTTTGATTTACACTCTGCAGATGCGTCTGTAAGTTATTACAGATTGGCGTATTTTGACTCCATTGTTACATGGATATTAATTGTTCAATTTGACCTACAGGTCTTTTGGGACTTGTGTATCAAAATACTACTGATGTGGCAGAGACCAGCTGCAGCTGAAAGCCTGTGGGAACACAAGCTAATGACAACTGACTTCTGACTGCTTTGGAAAGGACGACTAAGAATTTCTCTGAATTTATCAGAGCTGTAAATACGACAAGACAGACTTGAGTAGTTTCATTTCTGAGACGTCGCCAGCCTTTAAAAACAGAAGTCTCCCCCATTTATAAGATGGTGGTTTGTCTAAATGTGGCCTACTTTTGCTCTGTAAAAGTTGGGGTGTGCCAAAAATTATTTCCTTCCTCCACAACTCGTAAAAAAAGATGGAACTCACTCAGGATAAAGTTTCTTTAACCTCTGGAAGGGAAGAGAGGAAAATAGTGGGACTGAGTAAAACTCCTCTCTGAAGTCTGTCTTTTCGTCTTACTCCCCTCTCCCTGATTTTCTCTGTTTTCCTTAAAACCAAATTTCATGCAAAAATCTGCAAGTGAAACACATTCAACTTTGTGGCTTATCTTATTATCACCCTCCATCATGAATGTCCATCCAAAAGAAACACATGTTGATCAGTGTTAGAGAGAACTTTCGATTTCAACCAAGACTGTTTTGTTTAGCTGTCTTCAAACACACACACACACACACACACACACACACACACACAGGCACGGACACAAACATTGGGAAACATGAGCTCAACTGTTGGTGTGGTTTCCTCAGTGCGCGCACACAAGCATGCAATGGGACTCGCATGTGGCTTTGTTTCACATCCTTTCTTTCATTGTCAGGGCATGAGTGGTGGAAGTGCATGCCCATCACATACTGTATTCTTTACTCATTCAAGTAATGGCCTGCATTACCACACACAGAGGCATTTATTTTTCTTCTTGCATAACACTGTTAATGTTGTCCCATATTTCAAAGATAAATGTTGGAACGCAGGAACCTTCAAATATAAAATCACATTATTCAGGCTTGTTAGCATTTTCTATGCCTCTTTAGCCTTCTGTTGGGTTTCAAACACAGGAACAATGGAAAGGATATGGTGTTTAAATGAGCACGGAGAAATAGGGTTATTCATATTCCCTGTATACACCCTGATTTTTTTCAGACTCCAGCTCCAGCTATTCGGGTTTCTCATAAACAGAATATGCCATCTATTGTCATCTCACCAAACATACAACAGTAATGCAGGTAAAACTTAACAGTGTTTGCGGGGCCATTCCAACACTAAATTAATAAATACTAATACCATAAAATAGACATCAATTAAATACAATGAAACACTAACTATCCAGCAATAACTCACAAGCCAAAAGTCCAGTATGACACTCACAGTTTCTAGGCAGAACATTATTGTACAATAGCGTGACTAATTTAAAAAAAAAACAACTGAAATTACAATTTTATTTAATAAAAAAAAAAGAAGAAGAGAAAAACCACATATTGAGTCACCTGTAACACCTGAACACTGCTTGTTGCAATTGAGAGTGTGTTTGAAAACTAGCTAGCATCAATGACCGTATATTAGCATATGAACAGAAGTCTTAGCTAAAAGTAATGGATAAATGGTTAAAATAGATAGTTTAAAGCAATGCATAAACTGTTTAAATAAGTATAGCCTAAATGAAATAAATGGTTGTGTGCTAAAAAGTTGAACTAGTTAGCTAAAACCTATGCGTACACAGTTGACCTAGTTAATAAAAACCCGCAAAACAAAACAAAACACACATACGATTGAACTTTTTAGCTCTATATGTATATGTATATGTATATGCATTTACATTACATTTAGATAAACATTTGAACTAGTTGTCAAAAAAGTAGTGGACAGGCTAGCTGAAGGAGTTAGCTAAAACTAGTTCAGTTAAACTCGTTAGCGAACAGTAATGCATAGCTATACAGTTGGAGCTAGTTAGCGAAAGCTAAAGGATATACAGTTAACCTAGTTAGTAAAAACTTATGGATAGAATTACTATAGCCTACAGTTGAATCAGTTAGTTATAAATAATGGATAAAGCTTACAGTTAAAGTAGTTAGCAAAAAATAATTGATAGCTATACAGCTGGAATTAGTTTTCTAAAAATAATGTATAGTTAAATTAGTTAGCTAAAACTCATGAATATACAATTAAACTAGCTGGCTCAATTTAATGGAGATACAGTTAGAACAGTTAGCAGTTTGAACTAGTTAGTAAAAAGTAACAGATACCATTGCTATACAGTTGGAACTAGTTAGCTAAAACTAATACAGTTGAGCTAGATAACCAAAACTAATGGATATACAGTTATATTAGTTAGCTAAAACTAATAGATGTATAACATTAGTTGAATTAGTTAGCAAAAACTAATGAATATACAGTTGAACTAGTTAGCTAAAACTAAATTGAACTAGTTAACTAATCGATATACAGTTATACTAGATAGCTAAAACTAATATAACATTAGTTAAAGCCGTTAGCTAAAACTAATATATATATTGTTAGTTTAACTAGTTAGCTAAAACAAATTAAAACAGTTAAACTAGTTAGCTTAAACTAATAGATAACGTTAGTTGAACTAGTTAGCTAAAACAAATGGATACAGTTGAAATAGTTAGCTAAAACAAATGGATACAGTTGAACTAGTTAGCTAAAACTAATGGGTATACAATTGAACTAGTTAAGCTAACTAATCGGTATACAGTTATACTAGATAGCTAAAACTAATGGATATATACCATTAGTTCAATTAGTTAGCTATGGATATACAACTAATTAGCTAAAATTACTGGATATTTAACATTAGTTAACGCAGTTAGCTAAAACTAATATATATATTGTTAGCTGAACTAGTTAGCTAAAACAAATGGATACACTTGAACTAGTTAGCTTAAACTAATAGATAATGTTAGTTGAACTAGTTAGCTAAAACTAATGGGTATACAATT